GTGTGTGTGTGTGTGTGTGTGTGTGTGTGTGTGTGTGTGTGTGTGTGTGTTCTAGCACAGTGGTTCTCAACCTTTTTTGTACCAAGACCCATTTGTAAACATCCATGTCCAGTCCCAACCCAGTACCCTCCCCCACTCCCGACCTGCTGCCGCCAGCCCCCAGTGTGTGGGGCAAGGGGGCCCCCAAGCAGCCCCTCTCAGGCTGGCACTTTGCCCACCTACAAGGGAAAAGCCACCATTTCCCACATTTTTCTCCATTAAAGGAGAATCCACTTTTAAAGTTTGTTCACAGCCCTTTCATATATTCTTGTGACCCACAGATTATAGCATACTCAAACACACAAATGCTGTTGTAGTGTACTCAAACGCACAAACATACGGGTTTATATGTAAATCTGGGTTTCTAATATGTTTCTATAGTTATATTATTGTATAATAATGAGAGAGACTTATTTTAAGAATCTAAGGAACAATAGAGACATTTTTAAGTATGAACTGTGATCATCCACACCAGATGTGTGAAACATACTTGTCATCCCTGTGCTTCCTATGCCCACTCCCCACAGCTGGATGTGGACCCACCTCCAGTGGCAAGGGAAGCAGCAGTAACTGGCACATGTGCCTGAGCCATTGTGGTGGCTCGGGGTGCTGTCAAACATTAATGCTGCTGTCACTTGTCCTGATGTTGCCAAAATGGGTTCCCAACTGGGATCTCTGTACCCTGAAATTCAGTGATGGTAGCCAACATAACTGAGCTGGGAGGAGGGGCAGCCATGGCAGCAGCAGCCCCAGGCACTGTCTTTCTCAAGAGGGGTGCAAAAGCAGCCAGCTACTGCAATCAGTATGACAGGAGCAGGTGCTGTTCTCTGCATTGTGTGGCTGTCCCCAGTGCAGTTACCATGCTACCCATCTGATAGTGGCAATAAACCACCCTGGCTCGTGGAACTGTGAGACCTAACGCCCACAAATTCCAGCCCTTTCATGAGTCCTGTGGACCAGATGACATGGTACCATGTGCTGGATCTGACCCAGGGGCTTGAATAATCAACATTAGAACATCTGTTTGTTGTATGTTTATTAATTATTTCCTTTTGTCTTTGGTTTTTAAGAAGCCCAGCCAGTTCTCCATCTGCCTTACTCTGCTTTTTGCGTAGAAATATCTTCTAGTAGCCCTAGTCTGTTTTTCTTC